CTGTTTTTACTCATCAACTGTTTTGGTAATTGCGGTTTTTTAAAATATTATTTATACTTTAAGTTCTAGGGTACATGTGCACAATGTGCAGGTTTGTTACATATGTATACATGTGCCATGTTGGTGTGCTGTACCCATTAACTCATCATTTACGTTAGGTATATCTCCCTAATGCTATCCCTCCCCAACCCCCTCCCCACAATAGGCCCTGGTGTGTGACGTTCCCCTTCCTGTGTCCAAGTGATCTCATTATTCAATTCCCACCTATGAGTGAGAGCATGCATTGTTTGGTTTTCTGTTCTTGCGATAGTTTGCTGAGAATGATGGTTTCCAGCTGCATCCATGTCCCTACAAAGGACACAAACTCATCCTTTTTTATGGCTGCATAGTATTCCATGGTGTATATGTTCACATTTTCTTAATCCAGACTGTCACTGATGGACATTTGGATTGATTCCAAGTCTTTGCTATTGGAATAGTGCTGCCAATAAACGTACATGTGCATGTGTTCTTTATAGCAGCATGATTTATAATCCTTTAGGTATATACCCCAGTAATGGATGGCTGGGTCAAAGGGTATTTCTAGTTCTAGATCCTTGAGGAATCGCCACACTGTTTTCCACAATAGTTTGAACAGTTTACAGTCCCACCACTATGAAAAACTTCTAGCACCTAGCAAAGGATTAGGCATTTAGTCTGATGTTTGGTGAGTACATTTAGCTTCTATGGCTTGTAAGTGTTATAGAGGAGCTACTAAAGAAAAACTAACTGACAAGAGGAAAAGAAAAATTCTCATTGGTCTTCTAAAAACTTGCCCAATATTTATGGTTTCTCTCATCATGAAGACTATTACTTTGGTGGTCCTCAATAAACATGACTCCTACCATTCCAACTCTTGTGCCAGCCTTCCCAACATTGCCTCTGGTCTTGGCCATGTTAGCTTTGGCCACTGGAATATTGGCAAGGATGAAGACAGCGGATGCTTGACCATTGCTTGTACATTGAGTTTGTCCACTTGAAGTGCTCTTTCTTGGAACCCAGGTGCCATGTTCAGTGTAAGTCCAACAAGCCATGTGAAGAAAAACCAAAGCCCCTGGATGAGAGTCCCAGGTGAGCATCCAGCTGAGGGCCACCAACAACTTTGATGCACACAGTCCTCAAAATCATCCTTAGCTAAAGCCATTGCATGTCTCTCTTAAAAGCCGTATTAAAGGCATATTAAAGGTTTAACTGTACTGGTAAAATGTCACTGCCCATGGAAAAGAATGAAACCTCCTTTACAAAAGAATCATTACAATTGCCAAAAAAAACCCCTGAAACTCATTCATAAATTGGAGATGTTATGGTGGAAGCCTTTTATTAGTTAATGCATCTCTATATTGAGATTACAAGCACATTGTAAATGATCTCTGGGGAGAGGTATTGGGTCCAATTAGTGAAGGGGGTGAATTCTCACAGAAGAAAAGAAAGTGATGGGGGTCGAGCTGTTCAGGTGGTGGTTCCTACATGACCATAGTCCCATTTTCCTTATCGGCATCCTCATTTTCTGGTATTTCAACATGGATTCGGGTATTTTGGAAGAAAAAAGAACATTATAGAAAGAGCAGGCTCAAGAATCACAGTCCAAGTCTGGGCACAACTACATGGAGCAGCTATAAGGGTTTCATATTAGTCAAGGTTCTCCAGAGAAACAGAGCTAATAGGATGGGTGGATAGATAGATAGATAGATAGATAGATAGACAGACAGACAGACAGACAGACATTGGTAAATATATAGATAATGATGGATAGATAGATAGGTAGATGTTGGTAAATATATACATACTGATAGATAGATAGATAGATAGATAGATAGATAGATAGATAGATAGATAGGTTTAGTATGAGAAATTAGCTCACATGATTATGGAGGAGGAAGAAGACCCATAGTCTGCCATCTGTAAGCTGGAGACCCAGAAAAAGTGGTGGTATAGTTAAGTCCAAGTCCAAAGCCCTAAGAACCAAGGGACTTAATGGTGTATGTCTCAGTCCAAGGGCAGGAAAAGAACAATGTCCCAGATCAGTCAATCAGGAAAAAGAACCAATTCTCCCTTCCCCACCTTTTGTTCTATTCAAACCCTCATGACTTGGATGATGCCACCTACTTTGGGAAGGGTAATCTGCTTTAGAGTTTACCAATTCAAATGCTAATCTCCTCCCTCACATACATGCCCAGAAATAGTATTTAGCCAAATATCTGGGTACCCCACGTTTCAGTTAAGTTGACACATAAAATTCACCATCACAGATTTCACCCAAGCTGAAACTGAGCCCTAGACTATAGATGTACATGCATGGATGCACAGGTGTGTAGGTCTCTGTAGCATCATATATTTTATACATAGTATTAATACATTTTACGTATATACACTATTTATTTGTTCATTCAAAAATATTTTCAAAGTACCTTCTATGATTTAAGTTCTGGCTGGGTATTAAACAGTAAACAAGACAAATATGATCTCTACCCAAAGCTTATGTCATCACATTTTACAAAACAACTAAGTCCTACAGACAAATAAAACAGTGATAAATAACTGATAAAAGTTATGAAAAAGAAGAGATACATCATAGCAATTTTTTACTTGAAAAATTTATACCTTAGCTGTAGGGCTGACATCTTCACTATGTAAACTTTTATGTTTTTCTAGTTCAATAAAAGATTAGCATTTGGTGTTTAAATGCATATTTAAGGGAACAATAATCCCAATGAGTCCTCAGTTAACTATTCCTAAAGGAAGTTTACTATTCAAATCATGAGCTATCATCATTATCCTCCTAGGGACAGTATGCACCAAGTACAGGAAGATTACTCAAAACTTACTAAAAAAGGGACAGAAAGGAGAGTTGGAAATCCTAACCACCTCTCCTCCAAGGCTTCTATTTCAAACCTAACTTTCCTGGTACTCTGCCAAAGAAAACAATATGAACACCCAGATACAAAAGGAGCAGCTTCTATTGTCTAATTCCCTGTATGGATAAGCTGGTTGCCAACTCTATAAATATTTAATAAGAACCAAGCTCAACTAGACCCATTAATGACTCTTTGAAAGTATTTTTATTATGAAGTAGTATTAGATACATGTAAAAGAATGCATGAAACTTTGCTTCCAGCCCTTGAATGTGAGTTCTTTGAATCACACTCTGCTCTCTGTTTATGGAGTTTTCTGTTTCTTACGGTGAAAGGAACTGTGAACATAAGATGTAACTAAAGAAAGTAGAATAACATTATCGATATCTAGCAGTTTTTGAGCACTCCTTATGAGCTAGTTACTGTGCTGTGGGATGCTCGTGCCTCATTTTATCAATCTTCCCTCCACCTTTGATGAGGTAGGTATATCATCCTCTTCCTCTTTGGTTTTCATTTGTTTTCTTAACTTTTTTACTTGTTTGTTTTTGTAACTGCTTTATTGAGATATAATTTACATACCATACAATTCATCCATTTAAAGTGTACGATTCAGTGGGGGTTTTTTGCACATTCACAGAGTTGTGCAATTATCAACACAATTTGAGAAAATTTTTAATCACTGCAAAAACAAAAACCCCTCTATAACCTTTAGCTATTGCTTTTCTTTGAATGTGGTGTCCCTCAAAAAGGTATTAATATGTTGAAACTTAATACTCATTAAGGTGGTAATAAGAGGAGGGCCTTTTGGGAAGTGATTAACTCGTGAGGACTCCGCCCTTATGAATAGATTAATACCTGTATAAAAGAGGCTTCAGAGAGAGTTTGCCCCTCTTGCCTTCCACCTGCCGCTATATGAGGACACAGCAGCAAGGTGCCATCTTGGAAGCAGAAAACAGCCCTCGCCAGACACCAACATTGGTGGCTTCAGAAGTGTAAGAAGTAAATTTTTGTTCTTTATAAATTACCCAGTCTGTGGTATTTTGTTATAGCAGCATAATTAGACTAAGAGAGCTATTATCCCTAATCCCTCATTTCCCCTGTCACTAGACTACTATTAATCCACTTTCTATCACTATACATTTTCCAACTCTAGACATTTCATATAAACAGAATCATATAGAATGTAGTCTTTTGTGACTAACTTCATTCATGTTCTGTAGCATGTTTTCAAGGTTTATTCATGCTGTAGTATGTTTCAGCACTTCATTTCTTTGTATGACTGAGTAATATTCCATTGTGTGTATACGTCACACTTTGTTTATCCATCATCTGTTGATCGACATTTGTTTCCACTCTTTGGCTGTTATAAATCATGTTACTACGAATAACTGCATATGAGTTTTTGTGTTAACATGTATTTTAAAAAATTATCTTGGGTATATACCTGGAAGTAGAAATGCTGGGTCAAATGGTAACTCTATGTTTTAACTTTTTTAGGAATAGTCACACTGTTTTCCAAAGTGACTGCACCATTTCATATTTCTACTAGCAACACCATCATCTTCCTTTTACAGAAGAAGAAACTCATATCGCGGAAAAGTGAGGATGAAATCCTCTGACCACCCTACCTTTAAAGGTCCTTTAAAGGGAAAGAACTGACAGTGTAAGTGGAAAGAGAGCAATTGGAAGTAGCAGGAGAGGGAAAAGCCATTATCATACAACTGGTGGGAAGAAGGAATGCCAAAAACATCAGTGTGAAAATAATTGCAACAAAAAGGTAAATCCCAGTAATTACTGAAAAGAGTTTTTTAGGATGTGGGCAATGGAAGGTATGTGGTGATTCTCAGAAGTCTCATGGGGAAGCAGTGAGTGAGATTGCCATGGGTGACAGAGCACATGTTACATAAGGAGGTGAAGGCAGCATGATTTTGAAATTCAGGTGATGGAGGGCCAGGAGCAGTGGCTCAAACCTGTAATCCCAGCACTTTGGGAGGCCGAGGTGGGTGGATCACGAGATTGGGAGATTGAGACCATCCTGGCTAACACGGTGAAACGCCATCTCTAGTAAAAATACAAAACAATTAGCTGGGTGTGGTAGTGGGTGCCTGTAGTCCCAGCTACTCGGGAGGCTGAGGCAGGAGAATGGCGTGAACCCAGGAGGCGGAACTTGCAGTGAGCCGAGATGGTGCCACTGCACTCCAGCCTGGGTGGCAGAGCGAGATTCTGTCTCAAAAAAAAAAAAAAAAAAAAAAGGGGGGGGAAATTCAGGTGATGGAAGGAAAAAGAGTAGGAAGTCCTCATCTTTGGATGGAGAAGGCATGAGCAGGTCTATGGAGGCAAGAAGCTGGAGTGATTAAGATACTGTACAATGAGGTAAAATAATGTACTGGAAAAGCTGAGGAGGGGATAGCTTCCCAAGAGTTAATGAATGGGTGTGTTTCATACAGAGAGAGACCTATTTCTCTTTGGCCACAGATGGAAGGAGAGATAAGGGTGACTGGGGGATACATCCTGGTCTGATCACATCTTCCAGAGTTAATATGTTGATTAGGCTCAGAAGTCCTAAGAAGATGCCAGGACACAAGCTGTTTTCCTTTCTTCTCTGCAGGAGGAAGGTGATCTCTGGGTTCCCACTCCAACCCCTACTATGCCCTCATAACAGCTTCCAATGCAATGGATAAGAAGTCAATGAGTGGCAAGAGTGGCTTTTTAGCCTACCCCACCCATTCAAGGAAGGCTTAAGCCTTGAGTCAAATCCTAGAGTGAGAATTCCTTTTGTATTTTCTGACTTTCTCTGTGCATTCATTATAGCCCTCATGGAAGCTGGGTTTTCTTGAGAAGTAAATGTAGATTCCTGAGCTATAAGAAACCAGCTTGAAGACTCTTTCTGAACTGTCATTAATCATGCTTGTTCCTTAGTATATTTATTACGTATTACATTTTTTTCTTCAAAGTCCCGAAAAGCCTTCCTAATTGAGAAGCCAGGAAATAGTTCATTGTTTCTTAAAAGTGGAAGTGATAGCACTTTCTTACGGTAAGTCTGGGCCATTCCAGTTGATAGTACTGATTTATAAAGCCTGTTGGGGTTTTCCTCAGAGAAGAAGGAAAAACCTCATTGCATGTACTAGCAATACACTAACCACAACCCCCGGCCGATATCAGAGGCATTTTAATAAAATCCAGCATAGAAATGCAGATTTTGTTACATCGATTCCAACTGATAATTAACTACAAACGTTTGACAATCTCAGAAAAAAATGTTTGGCATGACTACATGTGGTTTAAAATCTAGATTACAAATTCTGGGGGTGGTGAGGAGTGGAGAAAGCTGTATTTTCAAGTAAAATGAGAACTTTTGCTGTGGACTGTTAGGACACCTCCTGGGTCCCAGTGAGGGCCACTTCCGAGCAGCTGCAGCCACTTAGACCAGGCCTACATCTTCCCTCTGCAGAGAAGGATGGCCTACCCCAGGGCCCCTTGTGGTTCTGAATGTGGTCCTACGTAGTCAGAGACAAGAAAATGTTCCTTTGCATAATTATCTTCCTCTGTTTCTATGGCCCTTTTACATTATCCAAGGAGGTTTGCATCCAAAGAAGCTCTTGTTACTGTTTTGATCACAGCTGATTGGAGAGGCGAGACAGGTGTTTTTACCTGAGATCCATGGAGATCACAGGGTTTTTCGAGTCGTCATGAGCTTGGGTAGGAGAAAGATGGTTCCAAGTTTCTTGGCAACATTGTCTGGAAATGTATTCATCAGACCCTATCTAGCAGGCAGAATTTAAAAAGCAATTTGCTCCCTTTTGTGTGTGCCTTTGAGGATGAGAGACTAAAAGAATAGCTTGAGTATCTATGGGGCAGGAGGAGGTTTTATTTGAAAGACACATCTGATATTGCTAGTACCTACAATACTGATGTTGGTTTCTTTTGGAGACCCCAAGTTCTCCAGCCTACTGGAGTTACCCTGTCCTGTGATATTTAAATAGAAACTGCTTGAACCCTCATTTCACGGAAGTGGAAACTGTTCTGTGTCTTCCCAACCCCTCACATCCGCAGGGATTTCCCAGGTACTTATGAGTTTCCTGGGGAGTCCAGGTTTCCACCGAATTCTCCATTTCCTGATGTCTCCTTGTAGAGCTCCTCCTCTCTACCACCCTATGTCCACCATGCTGCACTTTTCCCTGAATTTTCCAAAACCATAACCATACAAGGAAATTATGTATAGTGTAATTTAAGCGGAGATTTTGGGATGATGCCCAAGAGCAATTGCCAGAAGCAATATAAAGGTGAACAACTATTCTCAAAATTCCCCTGACCATGTAGCCCTGCTAGTCCAAAAGACAACTTTCTGTAAACTTAAAAAGAGTGCATCCTTCAAGGTCTTTATTATCATCTTGTTAAAAGAAAAACCTTAGACAAATTAAATTTAATACAGTTTAGTTGAGCAAAGAATGACTCATGAATCAGGCAGCCCCCAAACTGGAACAGGTTCAGAGGCTACAACATACTCACAAAATGAAAGATTTATGGACAGAAAAAGGAAGTAAGGTACAGAAATAGCCGGATTTGTTATAGCCCAGTGTTTGGCTTATTTAAGCACAGTTTAAACAGCTGGCTGTCTTTGATTGACCAAAACTTGGTGACTGGCACAAGAATAGGTTACAGTCTGTTTATACCTCCAATCAGGTTACAGTTCACTATGTATGGGGAAACACTTATGCTGAATGTAGACTATAGAAGGAGGCAGCTTTAGGCTAAACTTAATTTAACAATTACCCCAACTTTAGGTGTTGATTCATTCTGTCACCATCATAAATGTACTTATTTGTTCTCCAGTTCCACTGGGAAATAGCAGAACAATGGGTTTTGTAAGTTGGGAAAAAGGACATCAGGCAATTTTTTGTAAGGGTTAGAGTAGAGGGGACCTTCTTGTGCTGCAGTTAAACAAAACATGGTCTGTTTTAGAACCTATCTACTTCCTTAAAGTTTCAGTTTGATTATATCACATTTAGCATGAGTGACTCCATTTTGGTTTGGTCTGGTCTGCTGTGGCCTAGTGCACGAGTTCAATCCAAAATAATGGCCTCCCATAATTTCGTTTAACAATTTGCCGAGAAATTGTTCTAATAGTTATGTGAACCAGCAGGCCGATATTGCCAATATTTCTCCCTGGAGTTGTACAGTGCACAACTGACACAGCTGGGAGCAGTGCCATTCCGCCCACAGGAAGCTTCTCCCTGGCCACCCCTTCTCAGGGTCCAGGCTTCCTAAATCTTCACCACTGTCTCTCTCTCTCTCTCTTTCCCCACCCCTTCCTTCCATTAATCTCCCTTAGTTCCTTCTATTCTAGGTTCCTTTACTCTCTTGCTTTTGATGTTCCTTGGAGACATTTATAATTCTTAGGCTATTATGCAGAGCATCTAATTTTCTACTTCTCTCCCCTTCTCATTCCATCTTAGCCCAAGGCTTACCTTTTCTCATCTGAAATGGCCCATCCTGGCATTTTACTATTAATTCTCTGAGGACTTTTTCTTCCAGCTTTTGCCAATAACTTTCCTCTACTCCTTGCCATATTTTTTAAAAAGAGAGAGATTTGGTTAGACTCTTTATTATGATCCCCATAGCAACTTCTATCTCTCCTTTAAAAATCTTCCTATTACAAACCTGGCATACTGTGGATGACCATAAATATTTGCTGACAAAATATTTATGATGGAATGTATAATGTTATGTGGTTTTGTTTTTTCAGAATATATTAGACTGTGAATTGATAATATCAGAATTCCCACCAATAGGTTTGGATTTTACATTTAAGCCTTTAATCCATCTTGAGTTAATTTTGTATAAGGTGTAAGGAAGGGGTCCAGTTTCAATTTTCTGCATATGGCTGATCAGTTTTCCCAGCACCATTTGTTAAATACAGAATCTTTTCCCCACTGTTCATTTTTATCAGGTTTGTCAAAGATCAGATGGTTGTAGATGTGTGGTCTTATTCCTGAGATCTCTATTCTGTTCTGTTGGTCTATGTATCTGTTTCTGTACCAATACCATGCTGTTTTGGTTACCGTAGCCTTGTAGTATAGTTTGAAGTCAAGTAGCGTGATGCCTCCAGCTTTTTTGGGGGGAGCGGTTTGCATAGGATCATCTTGGCTATATGGGCTCTTTTTTGGTTCCATATGAATTTTAAAGTAGTTTTTTTCTAATTCATGTCATATGAGAATGCATGGACACAGGGAGGGGGACGACACACACTGTGGCCTGGCCAGAGGGGCTGGGGGAGGGAGAGCATCAGGATAAATAGCTAATGCATGCTAGGCTTAATATCTAGGTGATGGGTTGATAGGTACAGCAAAACACCATAGCACACATTTACCTATGTAACAAAACTGCACTTCCTGCACATGTATCCTGGAACTTAAAATTTAATTTAATTTAATAATAATAATACTAATAGCATCAGAATTCTTGGTGTAAGCTTAGCAAAGTACCCAGGTCATAGTGGGTGCTGAGAAGGTATTCCTTAAATGAATATTCATCAACAAGTTGACCTGTTTTTTACTGAACCCAGTGGAATCTGCTAAGCTAACCATCATGAGAAATAGTGCAGGAGGTATAGGGTTCACTTTAGATCTTTAGATTTTTATGGCTGATTCATTCATTCATTCGTGGAATGAAATTATTTAAAATGAAAAAAAAAACTTCTAGAATGTTAGTCTCCTTACAAAAGATTTTTAAGGACATCATTCTCATTTCTTTCCCCCAGAGCCCTATGAAGCAAATAATATCTACCCCTCCCCCTGCCACCCCACTTTATGGATGAGAAAACTAAGGCCTGGAGTGATTGAAGCAACTCAGTTAGGTTCACATATCCAGTAAATGATAGAACAAGAACTTGAACATAAACTTACTAATGCCAAGTCTTCTACATGTTCTGCTCCATTATAGCTTCTCTGATTCAGAGGAAGAGGACTGTGACTCCTAAGTTTCCTTTGCAATGTAGATGTTTAAAAAATATGCTTTTCGTAAAAACATAAAATGCATTACTCAATATCAGTGCAAGTCTTCAGCCTAGAATCTAGACTGTTAAGTGTGCAGCAGCACAGCATACTTTGAAAGAGGCCTCATAAAAACACAAAGTTGAAATTGTCTCTAAGGATTTTAGCTAAGTAGACTGAATCTATTAGGGAAAATAAAATCTTTTCCCAGAGCTTTGCAGAAGTGGAAAGTGAAAGATTGAGAGCTTGTGAGAAATAACAGATACTTTAAAAAATGTTGAATCGAAATAGAAGAATGGTAGAAATAGAAGGATTTTTTAAATGAATAAATAAAAATGGTACAACATTTGGAATATTTTTTAGGATCATATAATTTTAGGACTGAAAGGGACCAGTAAAAGCATCTAAGGCTCTCCTTTTGTAAAAAGAAACAACATTTTGAGTCACAACCAGGACCAGCTATATAATTAGTGCAAAATGAAATTGTGGGGCCCCTTGTTTACAAAAAACAAATACTAAGATTTCAAGATGATGATAGTACATCATTCAACCAACGGTGGAACCCTCGTAAGTGCAGGGCCCTATGTGACTACACAGTTCACACACCAATGAAGCCAGCCTTGGTCACAATATTATTAACACCAGCATTTTATATTTGTATGTCACTTGACAGCTTACCTAGCATTTTCACAGGTAATCTAATTTGAGTTTTATAATAGCTCAGTAGAGTAGAGCAAGAATTGTTTTCATTGTCAAACATGTCCACACAAGAATACATTTATCAACTATGACATTCTGGTTGACTAAAATGACCCCACAACCCTTGCACCATTTATGTTTTACATCACAGTATTAGCAGTTTCTATTAGAATAAAAGGGAAGCAGTTAAGTTAATTGGCTCATGGATAGTCATTCAACAAACTCTTTAGCATCTGCCATGTGCGGAGTACTTTGGTAAGCATTTCAGACATTGAATTGCAATTTTGCAATAACTTAGTGAAGAAGGTGAATTACCATGCCCAATGTTCTGATAAGCACGCTAAAAATCAGAGATGCCAGTTAGAGTTAGACAGTCAAGGTCACAGATTAGCTACTGAAATAATTAGGATTAGAATGTAGGTCCCCAGACTATTCTGTGATGCTCTTTTAAAAAGTATTAACATCTCTAAAATGAGATAAAATGTAAAATTAATTTGTCTGCCAAGGAAATTAAAGCCAAATCAAAGAGTAAATGACTATTCTCCCTTTTCTACCTCTCCTTCTGCTACAGTTTCTAGATTAGAAAATAAGAAATATAAATATGAAAATTTCCCACATTTTAGGAGATTGCCTTGTTGTTTATATTAGCAAAGCCCAGTGATTAGCGAAGCCCCTGACTCTTGGATGTTCTTCAGTTTTTTCATCTTTTGGGTCATGCTTGCATGTCTTTGATGTAAAATCAGACTTGAGGCCTCAGCCTTTGAAAACAGCAGTCTGGCAGGGTTGTTGGAGGTTTCAGGAGAAACAAAAAGCAGCTTAAGGCAGGCCTTTGAAAGCTTTTATGGATGTTATTTATAGTCACTGAAGGTCAAAAGACAGGGAAGAACCAAAACAGAAGGAGAAAAATATTGTAGGTATGAGTCTAGCAGTCAGGGTGATGTTAAGTTATGCTGCAGTAACACACTCCCAGACTGCAGTGACTTTCACATGAAGATTTATTTTGGTTACATAAAGTTCTTCGCCAAGTCTCGTGACTCTCCAGGGAAACTCCTTTCCAAGTGGTGGTTCAGGGAACCAATATGCTTTTATCTTGTGATTCCAGTAGCTTAACACATGGCTCCTAAGGTCATTGAGTTTAGGAAAGATACAGCCAAAGAATTATAAAGGAGCTTCTCACTCCCTCAGACTGGAAATGATACCTTGTTACTTTTGTTTACAGTCCACTGGCCAGAAAGAGTCATATGGCTTCGACTGACTTGCAAGGCAGTGGTGAAGTGGGTGAGCGCATGCATATTCAATGAGCAATCAGTGTCTTGGCCTCAAGGGCAAGGCTCAGATAAATTAATTTACTTTTAATTCAATTTTTTAGGAAAACAGGTGATGAGCACTGAAATGATAAGCAGATGATTGTCGATCTTACTAACCCAGATAGTTGTTTTCAGGAAAATTTTAAATGGGAAAATGTTTCAGCTACTTGTATTTTGTTTTGTTTTGTTTGTTTTTTAGCCAGAACGGCAAAGGAAAAACTGAGAACCACCCTGCATGACCATACATCTCACATTTACATAGCAATTTAAACAGTTATTTTTGAAAACAAGATGACATGAGGTGTGATTATCACGTAAGTAATGAAACTGACTTATCCCAAAAACATATAGACAGCATGGATTTTCATAAGGAAAGTGGTCCTTTTCAGAGGCTGAGAACTCTGGTCAAAGAAGTTCCTCCAAGTAGTTAGCATCTATGATAAGTGCTGTCACTCCTGGATCTGCGTATTAATTGTAGCAAATTTGGGACGGTGTCTTAGCTCAGGCTGCTGTAGCCAAATGCCACAGACTGGGTGACTTAAACAACACTTATTTTTTCACAGTTCTGGAGGCTGGAAGTCCATGATCAGGGTGCTGGAAGTCCATGATCTGGGAGCCAGCATGATCAGGTTCTGGTGAGGGCTCCCTTCTTGGTTTGTAGATGGCTGCCATCGTGCTGTGTATTCACATGACCCCTTCTTTGTGTGTGCATGGAGACAGAGAACAAATAAGCTCTCTGGTGTCTCTTCTTGCAAAGGCGCTAATCCCATCATAAGGATTCCACCCTCATGACCTCATCTAAGCTTAATTACCTCTCAGAAGTCCCATCTCCAAATATCACATTGGGGGTTAGGGCTTCAACATAAGAATCATGAATTTGGGGTGGGGAGAGGACACAGTTGAGTCCATAGCAGGTGGGAAACATGGACTTAAGGATCAGAATTGCCTCTTGCTAGCAAAACTTTCCCAAGAGCAAGTAAGTTCACTTCTGTGAGCAGACAGAGGCTCCTGAAGTAACACAGGTGAAAGGTAAGTGGTCCTGAATTGGGATGATGACAGCAAAAGAGGAGATGGGTTTGAGACGGAATATTCATGGTTTGCAGACAAAGTGAAAAACATTTAGCATGACCACCCAGGTTGGAAGCCTGGTGCCTGGGAGAAGGTTGGTGCCTGGCTGGAAAGCCAGGAGAAAGAAGCAGTTTGGGCAGAAAGAGGAAAAGGACTTTGGCAACATGCCCACCTTGGGATCATCTTGAGTTTGTGCGGGAATGTTCTAATGTAAGGGAAATATAAAAATGCCACGTATAAGGAAGACTGCGGCCAGGTGTGATAATTTACGCTTGTAATCCCAACACTTTGGGAGGCCGAGGCAGGAAGATCACTTGAGCCTAGGAGTTCAAGACCAGCCTGGGCAACATAGAGAGACTTCATCTCTATTTAAAAAAAAAAAAAAGAATCCAGCCTGGGCGACAGAGCGAGACTCCTTCTCAAAAAAAAAAAAATTAAAAAAAAAAATTAAAAAAAATTAAAAAAGAAAAATATAGAGAAAAAGAAGACTGTGTCAGCCAGGCTTCAGGAGGATGGGTAGAAATAGAGTCTGCATGTGACTAATTTCATGAGTGGTTGCTTCACCACTAAGCTAAAATTCCCTATGGGCGGACAAAATTCTTATATCAGCAATGATTTCTGGGCATTAAATCTTTGTGATACTTACAACAACTACACGCTTGCAGGCACAGTTGGCTAATTGCCCTTCCATGGCAAAGACAGCTGGAGCAGAACTTCTTTACAGCATCACTTGGACACACAATTACTAACGACCGTAATTTTTCCACGTACACTGAGTACCCAGGCAAGAAAATGTACCTGTGGGAGGATTAGGGGAAATACACTGGAAACTTGGCCCAAAAAAAGAAGGAAAATAGAAGGAAAGAAGTAAGAGGTACAAGCAAGAGGCTATAACTAGATTTCTGAAAGAAGTGAGAAAGAGGGGAAAACAGAAGTGAATCAACAATGGTTGAACTCTTTCCTTGTTCCGGGGCAAGTGCTGAAAAGACAGTCTCTCAACTCTGTCTAGTGGAGAAAAAGTCTAGTCCAGAAATGAGTGCAAGAAGGCATGCTGGTTCTGCCAGGCCAGTGGCTGACGCCTGTAATCCCAGCACTTTGGGAGGCTGAGGCGGGTGGATCACCTGAGGTCAGGAATTCAAGAGTAGCCTGGCTAACATGGTGAAACTTCATCTCTACTAAAAATACAAAAATTAGCAGGGCATGGTGATGCACACCTGTAATCCCTGCTACTAGAGTGGCTGAGGCAGCAGAATCCTTTGACTCTAGGAGGCGGAGACTGCAGTGAGCTGAGATCACGCCATTGCACTACAGCCTAGGTGACAGAGTGAGACTCTGCAAAAAAAAAAAAAAAGAAAAAAAAAAAAGGCAAAGACATGCTGGTTCTTACAGGAGAGGGAAGCACGTTTTGTTGGGGGCACACCCCATTTAGATGAGCATTAGATGAGTCCATTTTTAGGTGAAAACTGAGGCTCCAAACAGTTAAATGACTTGCCTGAAGAAACACAATGTGATCACTAGGGCTTTATTGGTTGCATGTGACAGAAGCCAAGTCCAAACAAGTTCAAGAATAACAGAAACCAAAAAAAAAAAAAAAAAAAAGAGTGGCTCATCTGATAGAAAACTACAGCGTGCAGAGGTTAATCCAGCTCCTTTCCTGGACCCAGGTGCCCCATCTGTGCCCTGTCTTTAATGTGGCTTTGTTCTGTGTTGCTGTAGCTTCTGGAAGCCTTCCCTCCATTGGGAGGAAAGATGGCCCCACAAGCCACAGGCTGCCGTGGTCCTTCCACCTTGTAGCTCAAGGCATCCCCAGAGGAATCCTGATTGGCTCAGCTTGATTGCCTTGGGCCAATGAGCACAACAGGTGGAATCAGAATCGTGAACTCCGATCACATACCTGCTGCTGTGGCGAGGCAAGTGCAGCAGCGGCATGATTGATATCCCCACCAGAATCACCCACAGTCGGGAGGAATATTTCTACAAAGAAGTATATGGGCACCATCCCCTTAAAAAGGGGACAAACACAATCCATGTCCTCTATTCACATTTTAGACATTTGCAGAGTTGAGCTGCAAGCCCAGGCTGCATTCTGAAGTTTGTGTCTTTCTACCTTGCAAAGTGCCTCTCCCAAGTACCTCTGACAAATGAGAACAGAAAGAAGGTTTAATGGCAGTGCAAATGAAAGGAAAGGCAGAAATCATTCCGGGAGGCCAAAACACCAAAGAAGAAATAAGAAGAGGAAGCAAGGCAGGAAGATCACTTGAGCCTAGGAGTTCAAGACCAGCCTGGGCAACATAGAGAGACTTCATCTCTATTTAAAAAAAAAAAAAAAGAATCCAGCCTGGGCGACAGAGCGAGACTCCTTCTCAAAAAAAAAAAAATTAAAAAAAAAAATTAAAAAAAATTAAAAAAGAAAAATATAGAGAAAAAGAAGACTGTGTCAGCCAGGCTTCAGGAGGATGGGTAGAAATAGAGTCTGCATGTGACTAATTTCATGAGTGGTTGCTTCACCACTAAGCTAAAATTCCCTATGGGCGGACAAAATTCTTATATCAGCAATGATTTCTGGGCATTAAATCTTTGTGATACTTACAACAACTACACGCTTGCAGGCACAGTTGGCTAATTGCCCTTCCATGGCAAAGACAGCTGGAGCAGAACTTCTTTACAGCATCACTTGGACACACAATTACTAACGACCGTAATTTTTCCACGTACACTGAGTACCCAGGCAAGAAAATGTACCTGTGGGAGGATTAGGGGAAATACACTGGAAACTTGGCCCAAAAAAAGAAGGAAAATAGAAGGAAAGAAGTAAGAGGTACAAGCAAGAGGCTATAACTAGATTTCTGAAAGAAGTGAGAAAGAGGGGAAAACAGAAGTGAATCAACAATGGTTGAACTCTTTCCTTGTTCCGGGGCAAGTGCTGAAAAGACAGTCTCTCAACTCTGTCTAGTGGAGAAAAAGTCTAGTCCAGAAATGAGTGCAAGAAGGCATGCTGGTTCTGCCAGGCCAGTGGCTGACGCCTGTAATCCCAGCACTTTGGGAGGCTGAGGCGGGTGGATCACCTGAGGTCAGGAATTCAAGAGTAGCCTGGCTAACATGGTGAAAATTCATCTCTACTAAAAATACAAAAATTAGCAGGGCATGGTGGCTCACGCCTGTAATCCCAGCACTTTGGGAGGCTGAGGCGGGTGGATCACCTGAGGTCAGGAGTTCAAGAGTAGCCTGGCTAACATGGTGAAACTTCATCTCTACTAAAAATACAAAAATTAGCAGGGCATGGTGATGCACACCTGTAATCCCTGCTACTAGAGTGGCTGAGGCAGCAGAATCCTTTGACTCTAGGAGGCGGAGACTGCAGTGAGCTGAGATCACGCCATTGCACTACAGCCTAGGTGACAGAGTGAGACTCTGCAAAAAAAAAAAAAAAAAAAAAAAAAAGGCAAAGACATGCTGGTTCTTACAGGAGAGGGAAGCACGTTTTGTTGGGGGCACACCCCATTTAGATGAGCATTAGATGAGTCCATTTTTAGGTGAAAACTGAGGCTCCAAACAGTTAAATGACTTGCCTGAAGAAACACAATGTGATCACTAGGGCTTTATTGGTTGCATGTGACAGAAGCCAAGTCCAAACAAGTTCAAGAATAACAGAAACCAAAAAAAAAAAAAAAAAAAAGAGTGGCTCATCTGATAGAAAACTACAGCGTGCAGAGGTTAATCCAGCTCCTTTCCTGGACCCAGGTGCCCCATCTGTGCCCTGTCTTTAATGTGGCTTTGTTCTGTGTTGCTGTAGCTTCTGGAAGCCTTCCCTCCATTGGGAGGAAAGATGGCCCCACAAGCCACAGGCTGCCGTGGTCCTTCCACCTTGTAGCTCAAGGCATCCCCAGAGGAATCCTGATTGGCTCAGCTTGATTGCCTTGGGCCAATGAGCACAACAGGTGGAATCAGAATCGTGAACTCCGATCACATACCTGCTGCTGTGGCGAGGCAAGTGCAGCAGCGGCATGATTGATATCCCCACCAGAATCACCCACAGTCGGGAGGAATATTTCTACAAAGAAGTATATGGGCACCATCCCCTTAAAAAGGGGACAAACACAATCCATGTCCTCTATTCACATTTTAGACATTTGCAGAGTTGAGCTGCAAGCCCAGGCTGCATTCTGAAGTTTGTGTCTTTCTACCTTGCAAAGTGCCTCTCCCAAGTACCTCTGACAAATGAGAACAGAAAGAAGGTTTAATGGCAGTGCAAATGAAAGGAAAGGCAGAAATCATTCCGGGAGGCCAAAACACCAAAGAAGAAATAAGAAGAGGAAGCAAGAGAAGCAGGATGAGAGAGGTTGTGGGAAAAAATAAAACCAGGGTTGGGAAAAAAGCACCAAGGCCTATCCTGCAGCCTTCAATCCTTCCTCTGGAATCCCTGCCAGAAGCTGTTGGTGTTTTTCAGAAAGCTTTTTCCCTTCCTTGTTAAGAAGCTGAGAGCCAAATGCCCCATTAATCTTTCAAAAGGCCACTTTGGCTTCTTGGGGCAGAGCCATGCATGTTTGATTTGCCTCCCTCATGTTCATTTTCCTTCCCCAAAGCAGGGGCACTTGGCAGGCCAACCCAGCTACCCTTTTAGGATCATAGGGACCACATGCTGTTACCACTGTGGCGTAGTCTTACCTGGGAAGATAGTGGTCATCCCTACACCTCAAGGATTCTCCTCCCATCTGTTTAGTAGGCTCCACTTGACCACATTCCATTTCTCAGGCCCATTTGCAGTGTGAGAAACTCAGTAAACAAAAATAAACCCAGAGCTCCATGTGCCACCACCCCATTGGGCAGCTGCTGTACACCTGGTACACTGCAGGGTGTAGTTGGGGATACTAGGAAGTTCTTTCTCCTAGCAGAGCTACAGTTGGGGTGAGTAGGCGAAAAAGAGACAAACGGACTAAAGAGTAACATGGCACAACAGTGTTGTAACCAAAACAAACAAAATAATGTAAGACGTGTCACTTAAGAGACTCTTTTGTCTTCCTGAGAGCCTTCCATGAGCCAAGTCCTGCACTTGGCCGTGAGGGCACAGGGTCGAATCAGATGTGGACTGTTGGTAGGGACACATGTCTTCCCCACACCACGGGGAACTTTCCCTATGATGTTTCCTTCATGTGGAAGGAGTTCCGCTGATGGGAAAAAGCTGGCATCTCTTCACCCCTTTCCTCCCAGAGGTTGAGTGATAGGTGAATGGTCCATTTGGAATAAGTGATGTGTGAAGAGTCCACTTGCAAAGACTGTAACGGGGCACGCTTATCTCAGCT